CTCAAATGGGTATGGACTTTTAAAAACTTGCCTTTATCAGTATCTTGTTTATGAAAATTGTGAGAACTTATAAAGCATTTATATCACTCACACTGTGTAGTCCTCTCTAAGAAAAAAATTGTGCTTGTTCTTCCACTTCGTAAGGTAACACACTGTAGTTGTGTTTTCCACTGTTATTTATCCAATTAGTCTATGAATGCTTTCCAATAAGCAAACTTTGGTTCCTAATGTTCATGCCATATGCCTTCATCATTCTCAGCATCGAGAACAGGTAAGAGAGGGAACAATTTGGGTTTTGATTACAAACGTTAGCAGCTGCCATGAGAAAGCCATAGTGTTCTGCTAGTTTCATACAAACATTTGAACCAATTATTGTTCTAAATGTAGTCCTTCCCTTCACTTATTTACCTGCTTGTCTTTATAAGAGTTCCTTTATCCTGAATCATAAGTAGCTGTGAAGGATGAGAGATCTGGAGCAAGTTAAAGTACTGAGTACTCCTCCTTCCACAGTGTCATCTACAGATGATACAGTTGTTCAGTAAGGAAAACAAAGATGTAGGAGGCATTAACAAGGAGTAGCACACAGAAATCAATAAATGCTGTATTGGAACTGCACAGGAGCGCCTGTGGATACACAAGAGCTGCTCAGCCATTAAGAGCACTGGCTGCTCTTGCAGAAGACCCAGGTTCCAACCCCAGAACCCATATGGTGGCTAACAGCTGTCCATAGCTCCAGTTCCGGGGGATCTGATACCCTCCTCTCTCCTCCCAGGCACTGCAGGACCTGGGTGTACTTACACACAGGCAGGCATAACACTCATACACATAAAAAATAAATAAAAAAAATAGATGAGTAGTCTTGACATTGAAGAGATCGTTCATTATGTGGGTTTTTGCAGTTCTCTTAACTTGAGCCTGCAGTTCCTTTTCGGTGCATTGGGGATCATAGTTAAGTATCTTCTGGGATTGCTTTTGATATCAGGTGAATTTGATGAAACTTACAAAATAAAATACGATTATCATTCTTTGATTTGATAGTTTGACTTAATTCTGTAATCTGTTCTGTGTAAGACCTTAGCACAGTCCTCTTTTGTGGAGTGGATGGATTCCTTTTGGGCGCTGAGAGGATGCTCTTCTGTATGTTTTCCCTGATGGTATCTCCAGCATGGGCTCCCATGGCACGTTGCTGAGGTATATAGAAGCAGGCAGGGAAAATCGTGAGCAGTTTGAGTATTGCTTTCTCCTACCACACTTATGGGAGGAAAACCCCCTTCAAATTTGTGCCTGTCTAGGCTGCAGAGAGATGGCTCAGTGGTTAAGAGCAGTTGCTGCTCTTGCAAAGGACTAGATCTTAGTTCCCAGAACCTATGCTGGGTACTTCACAAATTCCTGTAACTCTAAAGCCAGGGGATCTGATGCCCACTTCTGGTCTCCTTCAGCACCTCCAGTCATGAGTCCGTACCCACATAAATACACCCATAGCATGATTAAAAAATAAAATAAATTGCCACGAATGACGGTGCATGCCTTTAATCCCAGCACTCAGGAGGCAGTGGCAGGCAGATCTCTGTGAGATACAGGCCAACCTGGTATACATAGCTAGTTCCAGGCTAGCTGGAGCTACAGGAAGACCCTGTCTCAGAAAATCAAAAGAATAAAAAATTAAAAATAAGTCTTTGAAAAAAATTGTACCCATGAACCATGGCTAAGCCCTGGAGTGCGTGTGGCTTACCAGGAGCATGCCAGTGAGAAGTACAAAATTTACTGGGTTTTGTTTGGAATCATTGTGTATGAAGCTTAGCTTATTTTGATAGAAATTCATCAGATTAATTAAATTGTTCCCTTTGAGGAAGGCAGGCCATTTGATTCTCATGAAAAAAGTTAATTTAACTGAATAATTAAACCCTGACACTCCTGTTTTAGGATATCTCATATATTTCTCTTTGCTCATTATAAAACTTTGCTTTGAATGATCAAGCTGTCTACCTCTTTTATTATAGAACTGTTACTTCAGCACTACATTTTTTAAGCTGAATACAGTATCTCCCTAAGCTTGGAGTACAGATAGTCTGGTGATATTTTGTAAATACATGTCTGGACAGTTGTGGTTATAGTAAGTATCTGTGAAACAAGTGAACTCTATAGTGAAGCTTGATCCTCTTCCTGCTTGCCCAGTTTGAATTTTATGGAAGGACAAAAGAGTAGCAACTTAGATTATAAATACATGGTGTGGGAAGAGACGCCGTTTCTAACATTCCTCTTGACCTCTGTTTAACCAGTTCTCCTCTCTTCATCTCTGTCAGGTGAGATCTCCTTTGACTTCCCATGTACCAGTAGTGGTATTCTGTAGCTGCATACACTTAGATTTCCTTTCCTCAGACTCGAGGTTGAGTTTACCTCCACATTACTGAGCTCTGAGCATCCCTCAGTGCTGGCCCTTCCTTGTCTAGAGCCATGTTCCACCCGCCATTCTTGTTTCTCTCATCTCAGATCTCTGTTTTGCCGTTCTTTCTTCTTTGATTGCTCCAGACTTTACCAAACAGTCGTGCCACACCTGTTGGCAGGGGCTCTCCACTTTATATTTTTCTGATACTAACCATCAGAAGAGTTGATTCTTACTGACCTACTTTCTTCCTCCATAGTTCTCCGCCCTCTGATTACCACAGTGACTGACAGGCTACAGTTAACTATTGACAGAGCTGCTACGGACATGACCATGGATGATTTTCTTCTTGGGAGTCCTAACTTAATTTTTCAGCTCTTTCTGTTGGATGGCCTACTGCATGTAATTCTCACATTTCCTTTACTTTCATACCATTTTTAATATTTCAGTATACTTTTTAAACTGTAGCCGTTTCTTCTATGTCTCTTTAATGATGATTCTTTGTCCATTCAGTCCTCAAGTACTGATACATTTCAGGTCCTATTTTTGTTTAAGTATTTACTTTCATTTTTATTTATATGTATGTATGTATGTGTCTATGTGCAGGTATGTGCATATGAATGCAGGTGCCCACAGAAGGTATTAGATACCCTGGGGCCAAGGGAGTTGTGAGCAGCCTGATGTGTGTGCTGGGAACCTAATTCGAGTCCTCTGGAAGTGCACTTAACCATGGAGCTATCTCTCCAGCCCCTTGGATCCTTCTCTGATCTCTGTTTTACTCACTAGCTGTCCTTCCCTGGGTAATCATAACCATTTGTATCATTTCAGATGTACTTATACCTGAAAGATCCTAGAATGCATTTTTCTCATAGTTTATTTTTATTATTTCTATTTTACATGTATGAGTGTATTGCTTGGATGTAAGTGTGCCTGTGTTGTGCAGTGCTTACAAAGGTCGGAAGAGGGTGCTAAATCCTCTGGAACTGGAGTTATAGATGAATGTTGGCTGCCATGTGGGTGCTGGGAATCAAACCCAGGTCTTCTGCAAAAGCAGCAAGTGCTCTTAACTGCTGAGCCATATCTCTAGCTCCTAGAATACATTTTTATTCTATGCATTTTCCCTACCCTTAAGATTATTTGAGCAATTTTTAGGTTAAAAGTCTCTGATTTTGTCAGGCTGCTTTATAATTTATGTGAACAAGTTTAAGTTGTTCAACTTTTTGAAGGAAGCTCTTTGCATTTTTACTATTAAGTTAGTGCTACCGTCATCTATCTACCCAGCTCTTTAAGTCAAACCATGAAATTTATTTAATCCTCCTTTTTCTCCATTGCTCATATCCCATATTCAGCCACTAAGCTGGATTGTAGATTATGTTGAGACATCTTTTGTTCATTTCCCTGGTAAGTGACTTCTGTTCCCTACATAACACCGTCTTGGTTCGTTTATCTTGTTACCTGATCTTAGCCCTATAGAACATTTTTAATTCATCTCTCAAAGTTAGGTCATATGTGGTATATATCTCCCCTTCCCATATCCAACAGAGCACTGTGTCTTTCACGTTTCTGCCTTACACAGTTTGCTGCTTCCCTCTTCTTCCTAGTGTTGGTGGGAACCTCTTGTATCTTTGGTTTCTTGAATATATGTATGTGCTTTAGAATTTTCAGTGAGAACTTTTCAGTTGGTTTTAGTTTGATTTGTACATTTATTGCTAATCATTTAAAAAAAACTATTGAGCACCACATCTTTCTCCTTTTTTGCATGTATGATGACATGTCTACCAAAGAATGTCAAAGTTACTAACCTTAGCATTAGCTGCATATACACACAGGTAAAAGATAGAGATATTATTGGTATACATTTGTATTTGTATATTAAGAATGCATGTGTGAACCTACAATTTCCCAAAGCAATTTTATATTAGTCAATTTTGACTAATTTACTCTACACCCACGGGATAAATTTTAAGATAAATGTGCGTTATGTGATCTCCTGTTTTCAGGCCTCTACATTTCTCTACCTTAAGTTCTTTTTTACTTTCTGTGAAATAAGAGCAAATGGCATGGGAGCCTTCATGTTCGTGAAGCTTTTGTCCTTGTTGTATGTATGTGCTGGCGCTTCTTCTTTGGTGCGTGGACTTCTGCCTTTTTCCATTCCCCTGACTTTAATTTGTACTCCTGCTTAAGCTTACAAATTTTTCTGCCATCACCTTTTCTGGGGTGCATTAATCTAACTAGACAGAGCTTTTTAATGTTCCTAACTTCATAGTGCCCTAAGCATATTTCCGTCTGTCTATAGTCACATATTAGAATCTTCACCAGACTATGACCTCTTTCAGGTCTGGTGGCTCTCTCTGGATCTTTGAAGTGTCATTTGTAGTTAAATGAGAGATACTAACTGAAAAGAGAGAATCACAGTTGTTTTTCACAGCTGAAGAGGAATAACATTTCTACAATGAGACTAAGCTGTTTCTTTCTTTTCCTCCACTTGGGTTTTGTACTACTGGTTTTTGAATGTTTAAAATATATTAGAATATTTCATTTAGCATTTTCAGGTAGAACAGAGGACAAGTTTTAAGGCATTCAGCCTCAGGAAATTAATAATGCTTTTCTGTTTCAGGAAAGGTGTTTTCCTACCTGCCAGGTCAGGAACCTACAAGTTCTGAGAATACGTTAACTGTGATGAATGATTCTGGATGTGATTTATCAAATGAGCAAAGAAGTGAACCTTCCGAGTCCCAGCGTTTTATAGACAGCTGCAGTCCCCCACCTGTTCTTCCACTGCCTCTTAGGAAAAGAAGGTGTACTACCGTGGAAAATCCTCTGTCTTCTCACATGCAGTTCTTGCAACATCTACTTGAACTGAAGAAATTGACAGAATCAGGCAGTCTGAAAGCAGACTTCACTCACTTTGAGAAAGACTCATCCACAGTCTCTGACTCTGTGTTACAGTTGCTAGGTGGCCTGATTGCTTTTTACCGTCATCCCAAACTTCCTTTTTCACGCTTTTGGACAGAAGCTGTTGATACAGTTGCAAGATTGAACAGTGATATTAATTTATCTAATCATATTTTTAAGAAATGCTCGAAGAAATTGGAAGAATTTCAGAAAACTCTACTTCAGGCCATTTTAGAGAACAACCATATAAACCGGGTAAGTACTGCATCTTACCTGTATGATCCAAGAAGTCAGTAATTCCAATGTGCATTCCTTTAGTGTGAGATTTTTGGTTGCCTGTTAACATTTGTGGTTCAGTCAGATGCTGGCCTTCTATAACTCTGTGCCTCCACAGCCTCATGTCTCCACCCCCGGCCTTCAGTTGCTACTGTGTAGTTGTCTCCAGAGAAGCCTGTGTGGAAGCTTGTGCTGCTCCAGTTTGAAATCGTTGCTTTTCCTGTTTTTGTTTTTATGTTTTATTGATATTCTTTGACTTTGGCTTTCTTTTGTTTTCTCTTGTCTTTATTTCCCACTTTTCAAAAGTCTCACTCAGTACTTTCTAGATAACAGCTTACACTTAAGATTCCCAATCTGTGACTTCTGAGTAATCTTCTCAAGATAGATTGTTGCTATTCTATTGAAGTTTCTCTTTTTTTCTAGCATTGACTAAAAAAATGCCTCAAGGTTGAGTAATAGTCTTTCTTCATTTGAACTTCCCTTCATGTGTTTACTTTCTGTTTTTACCTGATGTAAAAAACTTAAGGGAGGAAAGATTTACTTTGCATGTTTATTTCATAGTTTTGGAGATTTCAGTGCATGGTGATGTGGCCTTGCTGCTTTTGGGCCTCTGATGGAGCCCAGGCAAAAACTTGTGCAGAGAGCCGGGTGTGATGACACACACCTTTAATCCTAGACTTGGGAGGCAGAGAGCAGAGTCGGGCAGACCTCTGTGAGTTCGAGGCCAGCCAGGTCTACATAGAGAGCTCCAGGCCAGCTGAGGCTACAAGGAAACACTGTTAAAAAAAAAAAAAAAACAAAATTTGTGCACAGAAAGTCCGCTCAGCTCATGGTATCTGGGAAGCAAAGAGAAAAAGGGTAGTGGCTTGGGCCCCATTATCCCTTTCAAAGCCACACCCCCAGTGACCTAACTTCCTTCCAATAGGTGGTACTTGATAAAGGTGTCACCATCTCAGACTGGCAACCAAACGTTTATTTCTCTTTGGGGTACATTCCAGATCCGAACTCTAAAGTTTGTAAGAGCTTTGATGTTCTACTGACAATCTATTAATGTTAGCTAATTGAATAAATTGAGGAGCACTTAAGGCTTTATTAAATTTCATTTTTATTTTTCTTTTATTTAACATGATTATGGCTTACAAATAAAATACATATCTAATTGAGCAGAAGTTTGGTTACCATATTTTAAATGTAAATGAATAACTAAAGCTTAAAACTCAAACAGAAATAAGACCTAGCAATTTGAGAATTTAAAAAATTCTCTAAAAAGCCCATTAGGAAAAGAAAGAAGTCAAAATTATAATGATAGGCTATTTAGAAAATAATGGGAATAAAAAACATTATTGTAGGGCAACGCAGCCAATGTTATTCTCACAGACAACAATCTTAAATGCTTTCATTATTAAAATAATAATAAAATAAAGGATTGTAGCAATCAGCTGAGTAAGTGAAAAAAGCAGTCATGTAATAAACCTAACGAAACAGAGAGAGTGTGTAATAAGGACAGAGATTTTAATGAATTCAAAAACAAAAGAATGTTACTTCTCAGTAAACCGAAGAACTTTCCTTTAAATACAATATAGCAATGTATGAAAAAAGGCAAAAGGCAATCCAGTCAAGATAAAAAGAGGAAACAAATACAACTTATGACATGATGATGCAAGACCAGATAATTAAGTCAAGAAAATATGTCTCACACTTTATAATAAATAACTTTTCAAGTTATATTATAGATGGTTTTCTTGGAAAAAATGTTCAAAATTAAGCTAGGAAAATGTAGAAAATTGGATTTGTTCAAAAATAAGAAAATAAATGATGAAACTATAATAACAGATCCTTGATGAAATCATAATTTCTGAATAGTTATGTCTGAGCTCTCCACTGTAATTTGTCCTCTTTTTAATTTTAGTTAGGCTGTCATTGTTTCTTTGACTATAGGTTTATTCTTTTCTTCTTTTGTATAAAATTAACTGAAATTTGTTGGTTTCTTTCCTGTTGTTCTTTTGGTTTCTTTTCTAGGACAGCTGCAACTTGCAGAGTGTCATGGAAAATTTTCCTTTTATTTATGGAAATCCACTGTTAATTAATTATTCGAGTGTCCGTTTCACTGACTTTTTGCATCAGTTCCTTCCTATAAAGCTCTGTTTTGTTGTGACTGACAATCTTGCAGTTGGTGATTCCCTCCTAGACTGCCACTTTTTCATTTCTTGACTGAATCACAATGATTTTTGTTTAGACTACCTTCAGCCAATTTATGGAAATATGAAGAATATGGCTCATGAAATCAGATCTCTCTTTTTCCATTAATGTGTATCCCTTAGTGCTATCTTGAAATTCGATCTTGCCATAATTGTGTTGCCCAGCGAAGCATGTTGACTTTTTAATTTAATTCTGCCCAGGCAGCAGCATTGGTCACACATTTCTCTGCTCTGAGGTAGAGCATCATCTCAGTAATATCACAGACTGCTGTTCCCGTACAGACTTCCCCAAAGCCTTACCCATCCTATATGATTTTTGTTTCTGTTATAGGTGTTTATCAGTTTCTTAAAGTTTGCGTGGAGTATTTGTAAAACTATAGTAACTTGGTCTTATTTTCAAATAGCCCTGAAGAAAAAGAATTGGAGTTCAAGTTAAGAATCCATGATACATTTTCATCTTTGTGTAGAGCTGAATTTTAAAAAAAAAAAAAGGCTAATTTTCTTACAGTTTTATTTGAATTTCATAAATATTTATTAAAACACTGTGTTATAAAATGCAAACTTAGTATTTTGGATAACTGCATCAGTATATAAACAAAACCATTTTCAGATTTACAGTGTAGTTTTTAATTTTCAGTATTCAGACTGAGGAGGGAGGAACAGTCAGAAGTTTGTTCAGTTTACTCTGAAAGTGTACTGTACATTCAGTAGCTCTTCCTAAGATAATAAGTCTGATTTCATAATATATCTTAGACAGTCCAGAACAGTTTCATGTGGAGTCCATTATCTGTTCTGACCACAACTTAGAACAATATAACGGTTGTTACTACTATTTTCAATTTCTAGGTAAACAAATTGAAGTCAGACAAATTGAAAGACTCATTCAAAGTACTAAATTAACCAGTAATGGAAAGATTGGATCTCAAATACAGATATATTAAATTCTTATTTCTGCTATATCATATTTCCATTATTAGTTTGAAAGTTGATTGTGCATTTTTCCTAAATGCAAAAGAAGCAAATTGACTTCTGGCTTAAGGTAAAAAAAATACTCACTGGGAAACAAAACACCTTTGCAATATTTCTCTCACTTTTATAGGGAGAGTATTTGCAGTTTGCATTTGTAAGTCACTGCATTTTTTTGGATTGCATGGATTTATGCCTATAGATAGCAAAAAAGAAAAAAAAATGTCCTGCTTGTGGTACAATGTAGAATCATCTTGTTTGCTTTATTGGCTATAAATAACTATACCTTAGAAACTTTATAATTGCATGCAGAGCTTTATAACCCACTTTCTAACTGAATATTAATTATGTGGTTTTGCTTGTATCTAAATAAAATCGTCTTCCTCTCTGTTTCAACAAGTTTTATGAAATGTTTTAAAGGTTGTAGAAGTTTTATAAAGGAAAATGTGGATCTGTCATTTTTCAGATCATTTTTTTCCTTAATATTCAGTCTGCTTAAAGTACCTCCTCTAGTGTTTATAATTGTTAAGGGAATCTATAGTTATAGATATCAAATGTTAGGCCTGGAAAAAATCAAACATTTCTGTGAACATGAAATTATTTTTCACTTATAATCAAACAGGTATAACAAAGAATGTTTTGATTCACACAGTGATTAACCATGAATCTGTTTCTTTTTCCTCATGGTATATTTCCAGTCTCTAACGTGAAACATAAGATTGCTCTCATGTTCTAGGTACTTTTGCAGATGCTGAGAATATACTGTTGCTGAAGAGACAGAGTTTCTGCCCAAGAGAATTATTAAATCAAATAACTGTTGTGTAACAGTATTCCTGAGGAGACCTTAACAAATGTCTATTCACCCTAGATAGACTAACAGCAGAACACACAGTAAGGATACCATTGAAGACCAGTTTGGTGAACCAGTCAGTTTTATTGGGCATACTTATAAGAACACAAATGATTCAAAGATAGCTGCATTGACAAAAGCCCACTGCAGCAGCTCAGGAAAGCAGTAAACCCAGAGCATACTATATAACCTGTAAGCAGATGAACCAGTTGGAGACTGTCTTTTCCAGATAACTCAGCTGGGCTCTGCTTCTTTCAGGCAACTTGACTGTGTGAGTGATGTATAACAGCCCTTTCTGCTTATCTGCACTTGGGAGGGAAGAATTAATGAATCTGGTCAGTTTGAGGGATCCTGAAGCTATTGAGTTGTTTACTTTCTGAGGTTATCTGACTTCCCTGCAGGTTGGAATGTTTCATTTCTCTTCACAACATCCTGATATTTTAGCTCCCAGTTTAGATGCAGTCTCTGCTGGACGGAATGTCTCACCTTTCCTTAGAGTATCACATGTGTCTTAAGAAGTTTCTCTCCAAAATGAAATGCCTTGTCTTGGAGGAAATTTCTGCACAGAAATTTAAATGAACAAACAAATGTAAAATGACAAAACAGGTATCAAAAAGTAAATATACGTGATACACTAAGAGAAAGTAAAAGGGAAGATCTAATTTAGATTATTGGGACAAGAAAGCTCCAATAAGTAGTTTTTAAAAAAATATACATATTATTTTTTATTTTGTGTGTATTGCGTCCATGTATGTAAGTGGCACCTGTGTCATGCAATCCCTGCAAAGGTCAGAGGAGAGCATCAGATTCCCCTGGAACTGGAGATATGGACAGTTGTTAACTGCCATGTGGGTGCTGGGAATCAAACACAGGTTCTCTGCAAGAGCAACTAGTGCTCTTAAACGCTGAGCCTTCTCTCTAGTCCCCAATAAGTGTTTTTAAATGGGATTAGACAGAATTAGGTA